AGGTTTTACAAATGAAGGTCTGCTCGGTTACGCATTCTAACTACTTACTTTTGTCGTAAGAGACTGTTTATGGCAAATTAAATGTTTATATACGACAGCAGTGATAATAAATAAACAGTAGAAAAATAGAGCATTCTTACCTTAACCACTGTTATCATTTTAAAACAACTGATATCGATATTGTTATTGGTACTGGCCCATTACATGAGATCTAACTTTAACCTACTTCTAACCTGTTGACCACGAGATGTTTGAATTATGTTGTCGTTCATAAATTGATCTTTAACAGCTCAAGATTTGAAATATATCTATGAAAACTACAATCTTTATCATAAATCTCTATTAGATGGATACACAACAAAGGCGCTTAAAAAATAAGTACATGCTTTTGAAATGAAAACGAGAGCAAGTACAGCAAGAGTTAGCAAGCAAAAATCGATGTCAAATATACAAATTTTAAAACGAAAAATGAGATGTTCTACTATAATTACTAACCATAACACTTGGCAAATATTCTAACTAGAGAAAACGTGCCTTCTAAACGAATCACAATTGCTACGTGCAAATCTCACTGGGAATCGAGTACTAAATACGGAATTTCTAGTAATAAACACGGAAAAAAGTGTCAGTATTTACATTGTTGTACAAAAAGTAACTGTGAAAACAGAAAACAATAAAAAGTAAAATAGAAAGTAAATGAAAGTTTAACCCTGATAAGCTGCTATTACATTAAAATGCAAGTAATTGACATTAGAAATGTTTTTTTAAGTTTAGAGTATCTTATTCTGTTTAGTTGTCACCATCACCGCCAAGCAAAGACATTACTCCTCGAGTTGTTCGAGCCGCTACTTTTCCGAGGCCTATAGCTGCAACACCTACTCCACATACTGTTGCGACCGCTGCCGTTTTTGCCATACTTGCTGCAGCTAGAGTACTTGTGCCTACTGCTGTAGTTGTACAGTGAGTCACTAATGTTTTAGCTAAACCTATAGCCAAATGACTTCCATTCGTAACAACTTTACTCACTATTCGTTTGTCTTTGGTTTCCAAATCATTTTTTAATTCTTTATCTTTAACATCACAGCCGACATTAACTGGTTTAATAACGTTAATTGATGTGTCAAAGTTTTCATCTTCCGTAATTGATCGAATAACAACGTCGCATCTAAAAGATTCTATTTCTCTTGTCAATGATTCTAAATCAGCATGAATATGTTGAACAGTTGCCTCATTTTGTTTATGATTGTTACGTAATTGATCAATGGTTTTTTGTAGTTTATTTATTTCATCAGTTTTTGTTTCTTTAAATTTATTTAATTCATTTTTTAAATCGTTTGTTATAGTCTCAATTTCATGCATTTTTGTTTCAAATGTATTTTCGATCATTGTTAACATCGTTTTTTTCCATCTTTTCAAATCAATTATTGCTTGTAATTTTTCATTATCAACGTCATATGAGTGTAAAGTATTTATTAACTGGTTTAGCTGACTCGTTAAGATCTGTACTACTTCACCTTCAGCCATAAGTTTGTTTTCAGTATTAAGGTATGTATATGAGTAAATAAATTGATAAACTTTTATCTAAAAAGGATAAATTGATTTTAGTTCCACCAAATGATCGTTTTTTATCATGTTTTTCAAATAAAATTTAAATACAGAGTAATTATAATTTAAGCCATGAACAGAACACCAACATGAAAGACATACTTTTACTAAAAATAACGATAACATCAAATCGATTATCACAGATGATCATATTGTACTTGTTCAGTTTTTAACTACAATCAATATTCATGTAGCAGAATGAGAGAAGTCGATAAGATATACCGATAGGAAAAAAACTATAAATCTGAGAAGAGGAAAAAATCTAGCATTCAACAAAATATTTACGTCAAAGAAATAGACTGACGCAACAACAAGAACTAAAAAACTAGCTGAATAAAATCATCCTATTAACGTTTACTGTTTGGCTTTGTTGTCAATTCACATTCATGTAGCAAAATGAGAAAAGTCGATAAAATATACCGATGAGAAGAAAACTATAAATCTGAGAAGAGAAAAAAACCTAGCATGTAATAAATATTTACGTCAAAGAAATAGACTGACGCAACAACAAGAACTAAAGAGAAATAGCTGGAATAAAATCATCTTATTAACGTTTATTCTTTGGCTTTGTGTGTTCCTGTTTTATCGTCTTCACCAACATCATATTTCATATCGGTAACAGAATACTTTTTCGTTTCTTCTAAACCTTTACTAAATTTTTTCAATGCATCATCATCTGTTTTACAAGCTTTGATGTATCTTTCTTCACCAACAAAACATATTTCATGACCGTCTGGATCACCCAATACAACAATTTCCACTACTCCGCCTAATTCCATTTGAGGTATGACTATGGAACCTTGATTATTACTTCTCATCATTTGCTCAATTTTTGATATATCATCTGTTGGACAACAGAATGCAATTCGCCCATAGCCCGTTCCACGATGAATTGGTTTGTGAATATCAACTAATTCTAACTTACATTGATTTGTCAATTTGAAACCGGATGCTGTTTTTTCGTTTGCTGGCGAATGTGCTAATTGATCGAATCCATAATACAAAAGAACACGATCATCCGTTTTATTTGCTGTTTTCATTTTCAAAAAATTTGTGTAATAGTTAATCGAACGTTCAAGATTCGAAACATTTAACGATACACAAATAACTGGATCATTACCACGTTCTACGTCTTCATTTAATAATATAAATTTATGACCATTCGGTGAACTGACAATATATCCTTCTTCATTGTCATCATATTTTTGCAATAAACTTGGATCAATCAGGGATTTCGCATTTGCTACAGCTTGTTTGCTTTTTATTGTTATCGAATGAAAATCATCGCCCCTATCATAGCCTAAAATTCAAATGAAACACATTTTTACTTATTTCATTGAACATCTTGTTTTATAAAAACAAGGACACTGGAATGTTTGTTTATTATTAGTGGCAGAGCCACCGAGAGAGCTTGGGGGAGCTGAGCTCGCTCCCCTAGGAAATTTTAGCTCCATTTGAAAGCGTTCAGAAAAATACCTTGTAGTACAGTAGGCAGGTTTCGAACAATGAATATGTAGCTCAGCTCTCACTAGACAGAAATCCTGGCTCCGTCGCTAGTTATTATACTACTGGAGGAAAGCTGAAACTGCTGGAGATAATTACCTTTTACTCTATAATTTTGATTCAGTTCCAAAGCAAAATATGAATCTTCATTTCCGTAACCGACCATTGTTTGCGACCAGGGTGATGCGAAACGACCATTGCATTGGGCTTCGCATCCAGCATTCATTTCTGCATGTCTGAGTACATGCATTCCAAGAATGTCACAAAAGAATACTTTTGACTCAGCCCGATTTTTAATTTTAAACGTAAAATGAACCAAACGACGCTCTTCAGACGACGATTGATTTATCAAAGATTGAGTGGTCATTATTGTAGATATTTGAGTAAAAGTCCAAGTTAAACCAGACAAAAACAATCTAAATATCTAAAATATATTATGATTTAAGAAAAAAACTATTCTCAGCTTTGATTTTTCGTCGTCGGAGAGCTCTTCCTTAAGCATTTGATTTCTTATTGTTCGCTTTGTCGTTTGCAGGAAAGATATACGAATCAAGCATCCAATCCAAAGGTGAATGAAATAAGAATGAAAATTGGAGTGTAAACCGTCAAAAGCCTTTTACAGTAAAGAAATAATGCTTCTACAATCCTTGTTTAGAAAGCAGTTTTCATCCAATCAATTTTGTATTCCTAAAAAATTGAAAGCATGTGTGTTCTTTTAACAGACCATGTAGCACTTAATGTGTATATATCTAATTAAGATGTATATTTACATATAAACTATAGATAAAAGATACAAAATGCAAACACATCTTACACGCAGCATTTGTGATATAAATTTGGCTAGGTGGAAGAAGTTTTATGGAACAATTCTAAAAATTTAGCTGATAACCAAAAAGAAAAAGGCTTTTAACTTTTCGGAGTAATTTTGTTTTGGTAGGAGTAAATTTTTTAAAATGAACGGAGTAATTTTTTTCAAATAAGGTGGGGGAATTCTCCCGCCTAATCGAAAACGCTACTTACACGCTTGAGGTTAATCGTTATTCATCACCCAACAAAGTATGCTAGGATAATACTGCTTTCTAAAAACGTTTTAAAATTGAGCGCTTGATTAAGGAAGGTAAGGCCTTGTCCAGACTATACTCTTTTCTCGCTTAAGTATTAACTTAAATGATGTCGAGCACACGACTTAAGTTGGAATTAACTTACCCAATATGGTTACGAGTTTCTCACTTAGCTTTTGTAGTTTGAACAAGGCCTAATTACGTAGATCGATCGAATAACAAGGAAGCAATCGGGCTCTTCACCTTAACTTTCTCCCACTTAAGTGAAATAATAAATGTATGAAGTTCTTATTCAATACATATCCTCAAGACGCATTTAAGTAGTGTGAATATCGTCGCCTGCAGGCGACGATATTCACATATGAGCTCACATATGAGCTCATGAGCTCATATGTAGTCGCGTAATTTAGTCTTAGAGCATACCCAACCAATGAAATTGAAGGAAAAAACTGCTGCTGTGTGCTGACCTAAATGAGATCAAAACCAATCATTAGTAGTACGATGTACGAAGAAAAGGGTAGAATAGACATATCAATGGGAAAGTTGGACCAATAAAAATATCTGATATTAGGACACAAAAGTCTCTTTGATTTTAGCCCCAAAAAATTTCTTCCTTCGATCAGAAAGATGTCAAAGTGCTGCTTAGAACATTCTAAAAATTAGTTTTACGAAATTCAACTATCAACTTTGTAACGACTGTGATATTCTTAAGGAAATTGATCTAAGATTTCAATGGTACATAACGGACACTATGCTTTTAGTCATGATGATCATGAATATCACGTTTTAAAATCAGAAAAACATTTTATCAATGAAATATTATATCTCTAATGCATGGTGGTATTTTTCTATTTTTTATGATTTTAATCCTATCATTAGTATAAAAAACTTATAACTGAGTACTATAAACGGGCAAATATGTGCAAAAATGTTTGTTTTGGCAAAAAAAGACCTCGTATCTATTTTAAAAAATGAAAAAATTATAATATGAGTTAAAACAGACACAAATCGTCATATTCAATGTCGTTTTTTTTACCACTATATCATTACCAAACAGAAGCTTGAATCAATGGAAAACATATATCAAATAGGTAACTTTTTATGCTCTACTGAACGATGATTTGAAGGAAAAAAACATGTTCCTAATAAGGTATAAATTATGAATCCTATCAAGCAAAACAAACAAAAAATAATCATTTTTGACAGTGATTAACCATGCTAACAATCTCTATATTAAAGATAAACATCATCACACCTAGACAAGCACCGATTTCGGTTAAAAATCGATTATCGATGTTGGATTATTCGAGACCGGTGCATGTCTAATCACAACTATATTTGCCTACATCGGTGGATCAATTGCCCCTTCTTGAAAAAAATATCAGGCAGTTATTGCTCTGTGAAGAATTATATTTCGTTGTGTATTTTCTCAATTTTCGAAGTAAAGAAAAACAATGCTTGATTGAAAAATTACGTTTCTGCATATACTACTATAAGGAGTTTATTGAACCACCCTAGAAAAGTTTTCCTAGTCCGCCCTTGTTTGCCGAAAATCTGGAAAGAAAAATTCTCAATGTACTTTAGTCGTTACAAAGTCGATATTCGAATTTCGTCACGAAACCCGTTTCATTACAGATGAAGAAAAGTATAACCTTTACCCGTTTGAACAGTAATCAGAAAAATGATTCATAGTTGTTTTCATACTCATTTTTTTAATGTATAGTTCTCTTTATTGTCTGCCATAGTAGATACTAACACAGAAGTTTCTGTACAAAATATTATAAGACGAAAATAAATAAAAAAACAAACAGTCTTCTAAATTTGAGAATAATATGAGTGAAATGCGTTTTTTTGTATGTGTCCACCGTACGGCATAAACTGTGTTTGATGATGTTCTTCTTTATAAGCATAAGACGTTACATTATTAGGAACTATAGTTTGGTAGTTGTTCGCATTGAGCATTTGCCATGAGTGTGTAGGATTGAAGAACTGAGGCATTGGCAATCTAAAATGATTATGATTTAACATATTTGTTGCCATTCTTGTCGATGTTACATTTTGCTGCCAATTGTTCAGCCATTGATTTTGTTGTGCTGCTAAACGATTGGCTTGTTCCATTGCTCGGTGTGCAGCTGTTTCTGCTAAAGCTGCAGCTGTTTGTAAATTCGTTTGCATATACGGATGTAATGGATGAAAATATGTGTCTATATATGGTCTAACTGACTGTGATGATAGCATCTCTGAACTATTCCATGTTCTATGTTTTTGTAAAACTTGATTTGTATCAATATCATCTTGATAAATTTCATCGACAAAATGATCAACAGAATGTGGACGCGACTTTCTTTTAGTATGAGTGCTGTTATCGGTAATTGTTCGTGTATTATTAGCATCAAATAGATTAGTAGTACTAGCAGATTTAGACCAACAATCAAATGAATGTCGTCTCTGACGCTGTCCAGCTATATTGTGTTGATCGGTAATTTCTGATGGCTCGAACTGAGCAATACTATGATTATTATTGTTATTTTCGGTAAGGCGTTCGTAAATGACTTGTCGAGGTGGTTGTGGCTTATATGGTAACCATTTTTCGATGATAACTTGTTGTGGTTTAGGAGGCATCTGAAGAAAAAATTGTTTTTAATTAAAAATTTTTAAATTAAAATCTAAGCTACTTACAGCTGGTAATCGCTCAATAATAATTCTTTGTTTCTGAGGAGTTGGTGGAACTATCTTTGTCAAAATTGTTGGCTCTTCGTTAATTGGTGGCACCAATGGTGGCTCTTCGCGAATGATTAGTGGTGGTGGCGTTTTTGGCGAAGGATCGCGGTATTTAAGAATAATAGGCGGTGGAGTCGGTTGTTTAGGAGAGAGAACTTCTAAAAGTAGAAGATTTAAGAATATTAAACATTTATGATGTAGTTCTTTACGCAAGTACGTGCCTCGGATAACAATTGGACCAGGCGGTGGTGGTGTAGGAGGAACCAAATAACGAACACCAATATTTTGTTGATATGTTACATGATTTGGATTTTTTTTATAAATGATATTAGGATTTGGATCATTATTCAATTCAGGATTATTGTTTAAAATATCATTGTATTGTACTTGTAGTTGATGTCTATAATAGGAAATTAAGATGCGTCTTAAAAATTTTAGTTTAATGAAGATATTACCGTCGGATGTCATTTTGTGCGTATTGATTCAAGTTTGTTTGAAAGTAATCAACAGATGGCTGGAAAGATGATGGTGTTGATGATTGTGGACTATTTGTTGATTGAACAATAGGTTTTTGATTTTTAACTGAATTATTTGTACGTTCAATGATTGTTACTCGCTTCAATGGTTCATCATTTGGTCTGGGATAATGGTATTGTTGAAACACTGAATTTGAACTTGTCGATGATGTTGGTGATTCACGATGATTTGTTTTTATGGTCATATCAGAAGCAATACTTGACGTGGACCGTGTACTTCTGTTATCATCATCATTTTGCATTGAATAATAATCTGACGTTGTTAACGATGGTAGTTTTTGTTGACGATTTTCTTTTAGAGTATTTTCTGATCGAAGATTGTTTGTAACAATTTCGTCTCTACTTGCGTATGAACTTTCACTTGTAGTACCATCAAGGTCATCAAAACCATACATTTTGTTTATTTCTGAACGAAAAGCATTATCTTCCATTTCGTTTGCCATATATGGATGTGTATTATGAACTAATTTTTGTTTCTCATTTTGATTATCAAATACTAATCGATCTACTACGAAATAAGCGTTACTATTTTTCGTCCTTGCAAGGTCATTTTTTTCTGTCTTATGATAGTAATTAACGTCATTACGTCTTTCTTGAGTCAATAAATTTGATATTGAATATTTTTTATTCATCGATGCAGAACGTTCACGTTTTTCGTACCATTTTTCAAACCATTGTTCATCAATATTTTGTTTCCACGTTTTTGTCAATGGACCATTAGCACCACCCATTTTTAAAACAATATCTAACAGTGCACTAACATTTTTTTGTTTTGACTGATCATTATATTTATTATTTTTTGTCCAATAATAATCCAACCAATTATTATTTTGAGTTTTTGTTGTATTAATACCCATTTCATTCATAATACGAAGCAAATTGAAAATATAACCATCTTTTGTAGATTGTTGTTGTTTATTATCAATTTGAAGATAGATTTTATTCGGTATTTTTGATGAAACGTTAAGTAGTGCAGTAATATTTTTTACACTAGATGTTTCACTAAGATCATCAACGGAATGATGTCGAGGTACTACAGTTGAATTTTGTATATCTACTCGAACAGCACGAAATCTATTACTATCATCTTGGGAATGACTTCTTTGAGTTTGCTAAAAATGAAAACAAAAACTTGTTGTTTTTATATTCTTAATGCGTGTATATTTTTTCGTTCTTTGCCTAGACTAAATATTCTAATTACAAAAAATTCTTTGCTGAAACGTTTTAAAAGTATTTTCTCCTTTTTATTCTATAGTTAACAAAACTAATATGAGATCAATCAATATTTTGGAAGTTTGTAAATTGAAATTTTTTCGGTATATTTTGTACTTACTGATTTTGATTCTGTTTTAATATTTGTTCGGTGTGTTGTAGTGATAGAAGTTTTATCGAAATTTGCTGATAGTACATGATTTTTACTATTATTTTTACTATTAACAATAGCATTTTGAACTGCCGTAAAATTTTTATAATCTGGTTCAATATCATAAACTGAAGCGTTTGGATAATCGAGTTCATCACGTTCAACAAGACTTTCCTCAAATGATTGAAACATTGTAAGATACACGTGTGTTAATCAAAATAATTTAGCCTTCGTTAAAAAGAAAAGAAAAAAGAAAAACGTCGTCTTGTCAAAAACATGTATAATACTTTTCAACTTCTGACTTTTATATATGATATTATTTGTTCTAAGGTTTTTTTTGCAACACCTGATCGATTTTTTTTCTTCATTTCTCTGCTTAAGGTAAAATTAATAAATATATATCGAGTCATAGAAGCTTTACTTTACTCATCCCAAATATCAAGTGAAAAAATGATAGAGACACCTACGTTTAGTTGAAGAGAAGAAAAAAAAAGGAGTAAGGTTACAGTCTAGTGTGATTTATTCATTTTTTTCACAATAAAATAATATTTAGCACATCCCACATAAAATGAATAAAGTAAATTTATTACTTTCCAATATTTTCCTTATACCTTGAAAAATATTTAATATTTAAGAAATTGAAGTACAAGTTTGTATATACTCTAGATAAAGAATAGTCTATATCAGTAGTCAATTAGAATTAATCATTTAATTTGGCATTGCTGAGGTTGAATCATAAAATACAAAAAAAAAATCGATGTCGACTTAAAGTGAGAAAGTTATTTTTGTTGTTTATATTATTCTGATTTAACGTAAACGTTGTTTTACAACAACAAATGCAGTCTTCCGTTGTCTGTTTATAGCAATAACCGTATAACAAGGTCACATGTACTTCTGTACGAATAATTTTGAATATGTAACATCAGATAAAATCAGTTGAGATAAAGCATGAAATTTTTAGACTAGGAAAGGTGAGCGAAAGTATTGGTATGTCATATTGCTCATGATTCTAATCTAATTATTAGTATACATAAATATTATCAGAAGGAAGAAAAAAAAAAACAAATTACAGTGACACTTTTTGAATAATATAACAAAGTTGTGTTAGAACGAAAAAATAATTAATGAAATGATTAGTTTTACAAGTATATTGAGTAGGAGATTTCAGAACATTAGTAGCAACGTCTCACGCAGTTAATGAGAGTACCCTTACCTAATAGGTGAAAAATCTGTTTTTATTTCGTAGAGAAGAAAATTTTTTTAGATGTTTATATCACTTTTTGAACTTGATATTTGTTTTATTCATCCTATTTATGACTCTGATTATTGATTATAACACATTTGCTCCATACCGATGATCAGTTTGTATTTTTGTTATTGAACGATGACTTATCAACACTTGATCTATTGATCTTTTCTATTAATAAAGTTTTTCTCTGCATAGTTGATGATAATGCCTAATTTGTAGATCTGAGTTATGTTTTTTCATTAAATAAGGCGAAAAAAAGCATGGTACTTTCTTTCTCTTAATGAAATGCTGTTACTGTGAGAATATGTAATAATATTTACTTTATGATTCGTAAAGAAATAATTGTATATATAGACATTCGTGAAGGTGTATACTTCACATTTCTTGAATAATTTTCACTTATTGAGAGAAAGAAAAATTTTGATATTTCTTTCATAGCTCAAAATAATGGGCTTGAGCGTTTAACAAAATGTGACGACAAACACCGATTAAACAATGAATTATAGCTTAAAGGTTTGATTTCATAATTTAAAATAATTCTAAAATAGAAACCCTAGATAAGATGTATTTTATAACGATATTTTGTAAATAAAAAAAAGATATTGTTTCTCACTGTTGTAGATAGCTGGTGATCTCAAACAGAATATCTGGTTATTTTATCAATGTGAGGATGATGCTTACATGCAATTGTTTACTCATGTTACATGATAAAATTTCGACAGTATTAAGAAAACAAAAAGAACAACAAATAATGTCAGATAGCAACACTGATTCGGATTTACCTATTATTCATGAGTATGAACAAACATCTAATCAATCACAATCAAATATAAATAATAATTACCAAATACCATGTTCTGTTCGAGATTTCTCATCTCAATATGGTTCAGATCGTAGTTATAGTTATGTTGTACAAAATATTTGTTCTGGTGTCGATATCTATCCACAGTATGGTGATTCACAACGTGCGCTCGTTTTTCGAACATATGGTCCATGGTGGTTAAACACATCGTCTCATCAATATTCAATAAAATATTTTACACGTTTTGAACCATCTTTTACTAGTCGTGATTACATTGATATTGAATATGAACGCGCTGTTCATATACAATGTTTACATTTATATGAGACATACAATCCTGGTACATTAGAAGTTGTTTATGCCGGTTTAGAAGAAACAGCACCCGATCAAAACATATACGTAAAATGGTTTCGTATATGGAGATTTCCCGAGCCATTTACAATTGAATTAAGCGATATTCAAAACAATTGTAGAGATTTTCTAATTACTGATGGTAGATATAAAACGAATTTAAATAAATTAAGTTTTTTTTTGTCAAATTAATTTCTCTATTTCAGGTTTTCAAAGTATTGAAGATATATTTCACGACCGCAAAGATATATTATTATCATCAAAGAAAAATGATTCTTTATGGAATAGATGTAAATTATCACAAATATCAAAATTACATACATATCATCAGTGTCCACCAGCATCTCGTCTACCACGCATAGTTAAAATTGAGTTAGCGGATAAAATTAAATTTCCATGTAAATTAATACGTTTAGAATTTGATCATAGTACAGTGAGTTATTATACAGAAATAGATACCGTTATTCTTATTAGTAAACCATTACTACCTCTAAATGGTACAATAGAATCTAACAATAACTCTTCATTAGTAAGTAAATCGCTTCATCATATTGATTTAGCAGTCTTCTTCTTAAAAGTATAGATTTATTCCATTAAAAATCGATTTTGAGCTAAGTACATGGGTGAGATAGGCTACGATGGCTACTCTCAAAAAATTCAAGTAGGGGTGGGTAAAAATCCACAATATTATTGCTAATATTAAGAATTTCTGAGCGTTTCAAGAAACATTTTTCAAAAAGTCTAACAGACTGACTTTTCTGGAATTCTTATATTTCAGTTGAATGCTGCAGTCAAAAAGGATTTCAATAGTTTGTTATCATTATAGTTTGTAGAGTAAACATTTCTGGTTAAAATTTGACGTCTTCCAACCTTAAGCAATGCTTCGGCCAACAGATATAATAGTTGCACTAAGAGTCCTAAAATCTGTACCATACACTAGCGCCCAGATCATTATACTGGTCCGTTAACGACTTGTTCATGGCCCGTTAATGGTGTAGAAAAGGCATAAAGACGGCCATTAACGTTACTATAAGCTACCAGTTTGAAGAACGACAATTAACGGTCGAAAAACGGACCGTTCACTGGAGTGGCCGAATGAGACATCTCAGGAAACCTAAAACTAGCTGCTGTATTAATCACTGTTATTCGGAAAGTGTCAGTTTTTGAACCAGTGTGAGAAGGTTTTTAAAATCAATAACCGGTTTTCTACATAAGATTTTTAGAATTTTTTTAAAATATCTCGAGAAGGAAAGGATATTTTTCTTCTGAGATAAGGTCTAAAGTATCTGTGGTACAAATTTGAGCTCGATCGGACCATTTTTTCGAGGTGTCGTAATGTGACTGGATGAAAACTGAAGTTTTCCAGAAAACCCATAAAAAACATCTCAGAAAATTCTGGGCAAAAATACATCGATTTTCGTTTTCGATGCTCTATCTCTTGTGTTAATTCGAGCTCATTCGGACGTGTACTCCGCATTTGACAACAAGGTGAGGGGATACCCTTAAACGACGAGATGTTATATCTCCTTATTGAACGTAAAACAATTTAGTAACATGATGTCCTTTAATTAAATTAACTCAAACATTTTCTGTCGGTTCTCACTCACGAGGGAAGTACCCCAACTGATAATTCGCTTTTTCAACGAAATCGAGTGGACTATAGGTAGTCGACGATGCTGATTCCGAATATCACCATGAATGCTGCTGCTAGGCCTTCAAAGACCGGTCTTCAGGAAAACCAGTTTTCGAGAAACTCTAAAGAACAACCAAAAGCTTTCTTAATGAGACGTAATTGTAGTCCATAAATTTCTGATTAAAACGAGGCATCTCCCAGCTCTACACGACCTTTCTTTGCAAAGTTATAGAGTTTACAAGAAAAGCCCTAAATTCATTTTTCCTTTTTCTTTCTGTAGC